TAAAACAGTTATATACTAAAAAGCACAGCCTGCTATCAGCGATACAGATTACGTAGAATACACACATGAGCACTTATCTTAAATTTAAACATTGACTAACAATGCTCATTTTTAGAAGTTTTAAAGAATTTTGCTAATTAAAGACTATTACTATTTTTTAAAAATTTTTACAAGCAAAGCCCAGTAAAATTGTTGATGTATTTATTAGTAGATAAACCAAAACATTAATAAAATGCTATGATTTTATAATAAAGAAAATACTCAAGCATGTTTCCTAAAAAAATGTGCACATGAGAATCACCCAGAGAAAACAGCTGATTTTAAAAGTCAACTGCCTGAAATCAAGTTTAGGATTAAAAACAGTTCTCTAGCAATGTAAGCTCATTTAGGAAAAAAATGATTATGGTTAATGGATAGTTTAATGGTGATGAAAACCTTTTGTTGTGAATGCCCTATCACACTGGAAGAGTTGGTCTATTGGCAAATTTCGTCTATACCAAAACTGCATATGTATTTCTACTTTCCTGTTACTTTCCAGATACATTCCTGCTTGAATTTAAGGCTTTGCTCTTCTCGTACCACTGCCTGGAAGTCTTTTATATATTCACAGAATTTTCTTTTAAATTCATGATGTATTCAAATGTCAAGTTATCAAGAAAAGCATTTATGGTTTTCTTGTACAACCTCTCCTTTTCCATAACTTTCAAAACTCTTACTCCATTTAGGTTTTCTTCATGGCACATATCACCGTTTGACACTAAAATTAATGCCTATGAAGCCAGGATAATTTTTATTTTCACTTGAATTGTTACATACCTAGCACAAAAAACAATTTCTGGTAAGTACTAAATATTATATTAATATTTTTAATGAATTTCCTGGTTGTATGAAGGTTTGATCTCCAGTTTCTATTTATTTTATTTACGGTTGATGTTCCCTGGTAAGTAATATGGACTTAACAAGAGATACTGATATCATATGATACTAAAACACAAATCTATACTCTTTAAAGAGAGGCATTTTATCTTATTGGCCATACTGTTAACACATAATATCAATGATCTTTCTGTATCTCGGTAAAGAACCAGAACAATAACCCTGTAAATGTGTGTAGTGTTTAGCATAAAGAGTTGCATTGTACCTACGTGAATATAAGCCCACCAGGGAAATTACAGGAACCTAGCATTACAGGCAATGTAGGTGGAGGACTTACACATGAGTTAAGTGCTATTATATTTTTACTTAAGACATTTTTTGAATTAACACATCAAACTTGCCTTTAATTAGCTCTCATATACATGGAGAAGGAAAATTACTAAAAAAAATATAATGGTCCAGTGAGATGGTAGCAGTATGGTATTGTACATGATCATTTGGGAATAGCTATTCGATTTTATAGCTGCTGATGAGGTGCTGAGTCACTTGTCAACACCAAAGCCGTTTCTAATGCCTAAGGCATGCTCCTGTATCATTCAATTACTCAAAAGATGCATGACACCAAAAGATGCTAGACTTGGAAATAATTTGATGTATATGGAGAGTAAAAATTAAAATTTATAATTATCTGGACACTACTGTAATTTAATATTTGGTATCATCATAAAGTTGTGGGTATTTTTTTTTTACTAATGATTAACTAGACAGGCATTTTAATTATCTTCCACAAATAAAATATTCAGTGCATATTTCAGTGGAGTAATACTTTTTCGAAGAGATATAAAAATCTTATACATCAATATAAGATGCCTGTAGCTTTTGAATATGTAATTTGCTTATAGATATAAGATATAAAAAATGCAAATAGTACAGCATCTCTTCCATAAGTAAATCATAGTTATTGTCTGTTTAAAAAAGCAAATTCTCTTGCTTGTATTCAGGGTATTGATAAACATGTAAAACATTTATACTGCTTTTTTTTATTTTACTTTCAAGACAATTGCACAGGTCTTAGAAAAAAGAATATCTACTGTTAAGAATTTTTGAAAACAAGGACTGTGAGAGATATCTTCAAGTAAAAGATATTAATATTTAGACATAAAAAAGAGTGGAAGTTTAGAAAGTTCCTCATTACCTACTCTAGAAATATGATAAAGTTTGGCATTTAAAAAAACCTGCATTTCCAAAATGCAGTGAATTACAGATCATAGGATATCTCAAATTTATAAATAATGTATGGAGACTTTTGTTGATTAAACTCTATTTTCAAGGTGTGATTAATCAATTATTGCTGCCAGAGAAAATATATGAAATCTGTAATCAAAATCTGAGCCAAACCAAAACTGTAAGAATAGTCTCTCAAGGGCAACAAAAGGGGTGTTGAATATATACTTAACAAGCAAATGCTCAGATAACTTGCTTTTGACAAAAAGCTTAAAAGACCTGTAAGCAAACACCAACTGAACTGGTTTTAATTTAGCATGTCTTTTACTTTGAACATGGTCTTTAAAGGCTTTTGCACATGTCAAGATTTCTACAAACACAATTTGTTTAAAATTGACTATCCATGATTAACATTTTCCTTTACTATTTACTATCTCAATAATTAACCTTCACTGAACTATATCCCTTAGTGTTTTTTATGCAGTGAAAATTATAATCAAACATTTTCTAGGTGTTGCTTTCTTGTTTTGCTCTCCAAATGAAACACCTTTCAGGATTATTTAAATAGACTATGAAAAAAGAACATTGCAAATATAGCTCTTAGGGACTGAGGAAGTAAGTTAATTAGGATTTATTGCAAAGATATCTAATTATGAGAGGCATAGTCTTAACTCTATAATCTTATTTATCCAACTAGAATCAGAATAATCAAGGAACATTTCTCCTAACTATAACTAAGTGCTTCTAAGTAATTAAGAAAGACCTTTCTAAATTTTACATTTGTTTAACTATAAACAGAGAGCAAATAATTAAGTCATAGTTTTTGATGTGGCTTTTTATTATCATTTCTTAAGTATGAGAAAAGAGATACAGGAAGGATAAAGGAAAATAAGTACAAATTTTCTCACTCTGTTTTCTACACTGTATATACAAAAAGTAGTACAAAAATATAGTTACCTATATTTTTGTTCTCTAATATTTTATTTCCATACTCATAATCCAAGTAGGACCTCATGAACACTGTTATTCTGTTTCTTTCCCCTACTTGTCACTCTGATGATATTTTGACATCTTCCTGTAAGTAGGTAATTTCCTAACTTTTCTCAGCTACTTAAAGACACCCACTCATGTTTCCAAATTTTAGACAAACTCTTTAGCTCCACCCCAGAATCCCGCTGCATCTCTGTGAAATACCGTAACATGTATCATTAGTTCCTCACCACTCAATTTTTCAACATTTATTTGGCTTTTTCTATTCAGATGTTTTCCTCTCTCCTGAGTTTACTTCACCTAATAACATTCTACTCATCCCTCAGAACAGAATTGAATTTAAAGGTCACATACATAGACAGATTCACTCTTATGCTTCAGCTCTCTGGGCTTCTTAGCTGGATATACACAGTACTGACCATGTCTTTAAAAATTATTTACTATCAGCCTCTCTACTAGATTTTAAGGTTCAAAGAGTTTACTCAATATTGTACACAAAGGACTTACACAAAAACAAGTTTAGTACATTGAAAACTTATACATAAACCTTAATTTCAACTTTAGAATAAATTAATAATATGTAACCTACAGGTGATAGGACAAACCATTTTACCGTTGTCCCATTAGTCCCAAATGTGTTACTGGATAACTATGGAAAGTGCTTCTCAGTCAATCGAAAGAAAATTCTAATTTATGCTTCAAGTGGAGTGATAGAAAATTTCTTCCTCCAGCTGCAATTGTGAAATTCTCTTATTAATGGCTGGCACCCAATGGAGACAGAATGTGTGGCAGTGGAATGTTCTGGCTTCCATAAACTCCTTGGAAATTCACCGCTAGGCTTTGACTTCTTTGAATATGGAAGAATAAGTAATAGACTCACAGATTGCATTATTTTATAACATTATCCTTGCCTGGAATATTTACCTTTTCATATGTGATTCTCTAATATGAGATCTTTAAGTACAGAGAAGGTCTTATAAGAAGAGGACATTAGATTACACGTGCTGAGGAAAGACCATGTTAAGACATGCAAATGGCCATCTATAACCAAAAAGATAGTCCCTGAAATGAAATCACATCAGTAGACAACTAGATCTTAGATGTCTATCCTATAGGAGAAAATAAATCTCTACTTTTTAAACCATAGTCTGTGGTCATTGTTTTGGCTGCCATAGTAAACTGATACAGTATTTAAAACTAGATTTGTCTTTATAAATTTATATCATATGCATGTGGTTACTTATACCTTCTGCTGTAAGGCAATTATATTCTGCTATAAGACAATCATATTATCTATGAACACTTCTCATAAGGTGTTTTAAATCTGTGAAGCTTTTTCTTCATTGTGTTTTGCAATATAATTATAAATGAATTAAAGACAGTAGAGGGGATATAGCTCAGCAGTGCAGTGCCTGCCTGGCAAGTGCAAAGTCCTGTGTGTATGTTGCTTTTTACACTGGACTGTGGTTAAACATGTTAGATAGTATGATTTAATGATACAGATGTGAAGTTGTAATTAACATCTTACTCCTTGTTTTGTGTGACATTGAAAAGTGATACAAGCATAGTAGAAAATTTGAAATTTATTTATTTGGTAACATTTCATTTATGATTGATGTTCCCTGGTGAGAAATATGGACTTACTCAGAAAGAGACACTGGTATATTATGACATTAAAACAAGATATTTACCCTCTAAAGAGAGGCATTTATCTTATTGGCCATACTGCTAAGACAAAATATCAAAAATCTTTCTGTATCTTGGGAAAGAACCAGAACAATAACCAGTAAATGTGTGTAGTGTTTAGCATATACAGTTGCACTGATCCTACAATGAATATAAGCCCCTCATAAATATTATGCATAAAAAAGAATTATAGATCTGTTTAAGGAAACAGCACTGGAACTTACCATCTTGATCCGTGGTCACCGTAATAGCTGTGAATGGCTTGGGAGAAAAACTCAATTCGGAAACTCCATTCATGGCTTCAATTTCAAAGGTGTAATTCACATGAGACACGAAGTCAAGCACTATCACAGAGCTGTTGATCAGGCCAGTGTGCCTTGGGATAAAGCGGAGTCCTGCCCCACAGTCCTCACACTGCTTTGGGTCTAAGCCGCATTTCTTACAGATTACGCTGTAGGTAAGATCTTTTCTCCCTCCTGTGTCACTTGGTGGGCTCCATTCCAAAATGAGAGCTGTTTCATTGATGTTAAAAATCACATTCCTAGGAGCTGAAGGTGGTCCTGGAAAAAAATACATGTATAGGACAATGCATTTATAGCACTAACTTGAAAACTTCACTCAAATATTTTCACTCTAGTTTGAACTTTTTAATAGAATTACTGCATTAAAACTATAGACAAAATAGTATAGAAATAAAAAAATAAAGTAAAATATATAATTAAGACAAGTAAGAAAAGAATGTTGAGGTGAAAAGTCTATATGCTAACTTTTCAGTATATGAATTAAAATGTTTGATGTCAAAGCTAGCAGATCTCAAAGATACATGGTAACTTCATTTCTTCAATTTGTTGACTGAAATATATATGTAAATATAATTTTAAAATTTTCTGATAACTATAATGATTACATTGCAGTTTTCTGTTTCTAAAATTAAGTTTATTTTATGAATATATTTCAATTTTATCCTTTTTTATTCCTTTTCTTTTTTTTTCCTTCTTTCTCCCTTCCTCTTCCATATTTCCCCTTCCCTTCTGAATAAATGATTTATATTTCACTATACCTATTATACATTTTTGTCATTTACAACTTTAGTTTTTCATGCTAGAATGATAATGGGGTATTTGCATGTATGTCTAACTTATTTCACTTAAGAGTATGGTCAAGGTACATACATATACATAGAAATATCTCAAGTATATTCTTTTTTGTGGCTGAGTAATATAAAAATATCTTCTTTATTCACTTATTGGTTGATGAGTGTTTGGGTTGTTTCTAAGATAAAGTTATTACAAACTGTGCTACTATAAATATGGATGTGCATGTATCGCTTTGGTATGATGCTTTTAATTGTTTCGGGAAGACACCTATATGGCAAGTAATTGTGTCAAATGGGACCTCTAATCTTAATTTTTTGAGAAATCGCCACAGTGATTGCACCAGTCTACACACCCAGTAACATTTGAAAAGGGTTCCTTTACTCCATAACTCACCAGCACTTGTTACTGGTTGATTTCTTGGTGACCACCATTGTTTGTGAATTGAGATGGAATTTCAGCATTGAGATGGAATTTCAGCATTGTATTAATTCGCATCTCTCAAATGACTAACAATGTTGAACATTTTCATTATTTGCTGTTTGTACTTCTTCACATGAGAAGTGTATATTCACTACAGATGCCCATTTTTAGAATGCATTTTTAAATGGTCTGATTTTTTTCAGTTCTCTGTATATTCTAGATATTACTCCCTTAAGGAACAGCTGACAAAAAATTTTCCTACTCTGTGGGTCTTTTCACTCTGTTGCTTATTTCTTTTGCTGTGTAAAAGCTTTTTGATAAAAATAAGATCCAAGTTGTTGATTCTTTGTAATATTTCCTGTGAAACTGGGGTTTTGTTAAGGCAGTTTTGGCCTATACCTATGTCTTTAAGAGTTTTACCATAAGATTTAGTGTTTCGATTTTAATATTTATATCTTTGATCTATTTTGATTTTAGTTTAGTGCACGGTAAGAAATACATTATATTAAGTCTTTTACTTTTCGTACTATGACTGCATATTCACTGTCTCTAAAAATCATTCAGAATCTGCTGCCCAAAGTGTGACAATTAATGACTGTATGTTTAAAGTTAGAATTCTGAGGAAGAATACAAATAGACCTTGGAAGAAGCAAAAGCCTTTTTACTAAGGCCTTGACCATTTGATGATATAAAAGCAGCACATGGTTGGGATGAAAAAGGGCCATACACAAGACATGATTACTAAAGTTTCATTTAAATTAAATTCACTGAATGCAATTAACAATGATCTTAAATGTAAATATGTCCCTAAAAGAGACCCACATAATCTTGTTATTTATCAAAAAGGCTGCTTAAATCAACTTGATCAAAAGAGTGACCATCTTCTTCCTCATTAGTTCTCTATATAGATCATATTGCAAAAGGCAAAATAGCATTTCATCAGTCTGTACTTTTCTTCAAATTATGCCTTTATACTTTTCTGAGTCCTTCAAAGCTCAGTCATGGAACAAGTATCACATAAAGGGCTAATTAGATGCCAATACAGTGTTTGGTACTATCTATAAACCAGGAATCCATATACTATAAAACTAATATTACCAACAGATTTTTTGAAAAAATAAAAACTCACACAAATGGCTGGTCCAACACCATTTCTTGCATATTACAAGAAATTTTAAGAAATCCAAACCAATTCTCTGAATTTCAGTTTCCTTGAGGACCTGCTGAGAGAGTGGGGAGGAATTTCTCTGCAATATTCCTCCTAGAAAAAAACTTTTGATGTAGGCCTCTTTTGGATTTCAAGCTTCATTAATTGACCCAATATTTTATTTAGTAACTAATATGTGGAAAATACTTTGCTAGATCTTGGGCACACAGTGGCAAGAGTAGCAGGTTATTCTGTTATTTGGATTTCGGGGAATACTTACACACTCATGTATTAGATAAATAAGTGTGAATTATAATAAATACAATCATGAAACGTAAAGGATACGAGTAGAAATAAAAACTATTAGCATGAATTGTATTTTTAGAAACTTTTTCAGAAAACCTTTGGAAGAAATAAAGATGTGTGGAAGTGATGTATTTCAAAAAGAACATTCGGGCTGTAATGTGGTAAGTGATGTGGATGGGAACAGAGGACACAGCAGTGAGATCTGTTCCTTAGTGTTAGAGCAGCATAATACGAATCATAAATCCACATGACTCCATTTTGACTTTGAGATGTGTTATTACACATTCATTTCCATTTTTCTCTTTGCCAGATCTCATCATCATCAACCAGTAGGGTAAAGACCTCAACCACCTGTATGGGTGTGTGTTAGCTAGTCATAGAACTACAATGGGTAATTTTTAAAAAAAAAGGTCACTGTGGGACTTGTTTTATGACCTTTCATGTTCTAGAGGTATTACAGCGATTGCTGTTTTCTGATGTTAAAATATGGAGGAGATTATAAATGTGAGCACAGGAACAAATGCGCTTTTTACCTTCTACCTAGAGTTTTACATGGGAGATGAAAATTCATTATCATTATCATAATGTCCTCCTGCGGAATGACATTTCCATATTGTTGGCCTTTTCTCTTATTTCTAATGGAAAACATGAATTATTATTCACCTACACCTCCATAAGTAGGAAGAATGTTATTAATTATGTTATGGGTGTCTACAAGTATATAACTGTCCGCCTGGGGATATTTAAAAAAAAATAAAAATACTGATACCCTTCTCACTTAAAGGCCCTCATACCAATTTGCATGACGATTAAATGGTTTTTTAATTGCTGCTAAATTATGCCAGCTAAACTGTGATTTCATGCAAATATTAAGCTGTAATGACATGCAGTGAATCATTTACTAAGATTTAGAACTTGGAACAAAGAGAAACAATTAATTCTAATCCTCAGATTCAACCAAAGTATGTGTCACTGGGCTTTTATGAATGTGGCCTGATTGTTTTGTTATCATTTATAAATTATACAAAGATTATATGACACACTGAAAAAGTAACTCAGAAGTAATAGTCCATTTGGAGAAATCAGCATCAGAAATTCTCAGGGATTTCCTTTTTGGTTTTTTTTTTTTTTTTTTTTTTTGGTTCTATGAAAAGGAAACAAATAATTCACATATAAAGCAAACAATCCCTACCCTTCAACTTCCAGACTAACTTGTAAGAAAGCTGCAATTACTCTGTTTGCACCCACAAATTTTTGAAGATATTATATCATAAACCTTACAGTAAAATCACAACCTTATTCCAGTTATTCTTTCTACAATGTTTACCAGTGTTTCCACTAGAAAACACTTTTTGCTTCAATTCTAATTTTCCTTTTGCACTTCTAAAGAATAATGTTCAAACTGTAAAATTTAAGTGTGGGGTGATACTATTCCCAGAACACAGCTTGGCATAGCAGAGCTCAGGTATTCTATAGCCTTTGATTTATTTTATTTCAAGATTTTTTAAAAAGTAAATTATTTTTAAACATAACTGTGCTGCTCAGTTTTTCTGAGCAATATATCTAGTCCAATGAAATATCAAATAGAAATGAGTGTGGTACAAAAATAAGATTCTTCTGGCAGATTGATGCTGAGACAAAGTAACACTATTTGCTTCATTTTGTTGGCTGCAAAGTTTTCAAAAACTTGTTCATAGGATCGTATTTACCTAAAAGAATGTCAGTATTTTGCAGGACATTCTTAAGTGGACACTACCAACAAGGAGAACAAACTTAAGGTTCATGTTTCAGTTACTGCCTCAAGTGGTGTGGAATTAGATTTTAATATTTATAATCATAAAAATAAGTTAACACATTAAAATAGAGATTTTTTTACCATGATGACTAAAAAGTGATTATTCACATATTAACTTTATAAATAATTGTGACCTACAGATATGTTTGTTGATCATAAGAACAAAGAAAGTTTGATTAAAATATATGAGGATACCAAGCCACACAAGTATATTGTTTATTACACTCTATTTTACCAAGTTATTATCTTCTTTAACATAATGTCTACTAGTAATGTACAAAAAGAAAGCATATTTTTTCATTCTTACATGTTTGGAAAAATAGAAAAATAGTTGTTTTAGCTTGTGTACAAGAACATTAGAGGAACACATTGAGTGATATAGGAATGTTTAGATAAATGTTTTTGAATGTGAGCAAGATTGTAGCATTTACTAAAGAAATATAACTACACTGCTATAGTTGAAAAATTTAAATCTTAGACTTTTAATACTGTACTAAAAGTATTCAGATCTACCTGTAGACATAATTTAAAACCCTAGTAGTCACCTAGAAGTCATATAAGACCTTGCCTTATATAACAAAATAATACACTTTATATTTTTAGTTTGCATTATAAATACAAAATAATACTTTTATGTAAGGATTGTATTATTAATCTATTTTCATCCTGTATAACATTTTAAAAATATTTTAATGAGTATCTGTAAACAGAATAGAATTTTTATAGTCTCCTCAGAAACTACTGCTCTCCCTAAAAGCTTTTTTAATTAAATTTTTACTTACTTGGAAAAGGCTG